CTGCACTTTAGCCTGGTCTATTGTCTAGTCTACAGTTCCCACTATAGTCTGAACTATTGTCTAGTCTATAGTCTGATATATAAACTGATTTACTTTATAGTCTAAAGTATGTCTATAATCTGAACTATTGTATACATATTCTGGGCTGTAGTCTATATCCTGAACTGTAGTTTGAACTATTGTCTACTATACTGTGTGGACCAATGTATAGCCTACAGTGCGATCTATAATCTTTACTAAAATCTGGTTTAAAGTCTGAACTATTATCTAATCAGTAATCTGGACTATATTCTAGTCTTATAGTCGTGACGATAGTCATTATTCTGAACCATAGTTTGTGCAGTTGTCTAGTCAGCTTATAGATCTTATAGATTGATCAGTTTATAGTCCAGCCCATAGATCAGTCTATAGTCCAACCTATGAATCAGTCTATCGTTTACACTATAGATTAGGCTATAGTCTAGCCTGTAGATCAGTTTATAGTTTAGCCTAAAGATAAGTCCATAGTCTAGTCTATAGGCCAGTTTACAGTCTAGCCTACAGATCAGTTTTTAGTCTAGCTTACAGATCATTCTATATTCTAGCCTATAGATCAGTCTATAGTCTAGCCTAGAGATCAGTGTATATTCTAACCTTTAGATCAGTTTATAGTCTAGTCTATAGATCAGTCTGTAGTCTAGTTTACCGATCAGTCTATAGACTAGTCTATAGATCTATCCTACAGATCATTCTATAGTCTAGCCTATAGATCAGTCTGTAGTCTAGCCTATAGATCAGTCTATAATCTAGCCTAGAGATTAGTCTTTAGATCAGTCTGTAGTCTAACCTATAGATCAGTCTATAATATAACCTGTAGATCAGTCTACAGCCTGTAGATCAGTCTATAGCCTTACCTATAGAATAGTCTATAGTATAGCTTAAAGATCTGTATATAGTCTAGCCTATAGATCAGTTTACACTACAGTCTATAGTCTAGCCTAAAGATAAGTACATAGTCTAGTCTATAGATCAGTCTACAGTCTAGCCTATAGATCAGTCTATAGGCTAGACTGTATAGTCTTTAGTCTAGCGTACAGATCATTCTATAGTCTAGCCTATAATCATTCTGTAATCTAGCCTATAATCATTCTGTAATCTAGCCTATAGATCAGTCTATAGTCTAGCTTAGAGACAGTGTATATTCTAGCCTTTAGATAAGTTACAGATAATGTTACAGTCTAGCCTATAGATTAGCCTATAGATCAGTCTTTAGTCTAGCTTACAGAACATTCTATAGTCTAGCCTATAATTATTCTGTAATCAAGCCTACAGATCAGTCTATAGTCTAGCCTAAAGATCTGTCTATAGTCTAGCCTATAGATCAGTCTTTAGTTTAGCTTATAGATCAGTCAATCCTAGTCCTTCATGCTTTCTGTACAGCAAATTTAACAAATTTTCAATTCTAACCTTAAACTTTATTATTTAACTTATGCAAAATTTCCCCATTTTAACTATTAAAAAGTAATTTAAATTCCTGCCATAATTTTCAACATCAACTGTATAAATATGAAAAAAAAATAACAACACAAATCAATAACAAACAGCTGGATTTATGGGATTCCTTAGATTCTACTACGTGATTTTTATTTTTCAATTAATTACAATATAAAAACATTTTTAACGATTAACTCATCTTTTTTTTCTGATATAAAACAAAAATATGTGTAGAAAATTAGTTTTAAATAATTATTACTCATTTTAACACAACAGAGCTACAGAGTAAAGTAAAGAATTTTGAAAAAAAGCTTTAATTAAAAGCTTAATTTATAGAGAGGGAGACAAGTTGTTTTTTAAGTAAAGGTATTTGAAATAAAATCTTGATGAATCAAAAAGGTATTAATTAGTTAAGGTAAATTTTTTTCAGAGAATTTTTATTGTTTTTTTTTTATAATAGAGATAGAGAAATGTTTATAAATTTTATCAATATTGTGGAGAAGATGTTAAACAAATAATTATATTTTTTAGTATTGTTTTATAGATAGTGAAACGTAAAACGTAAATTATAAGAATTTAAAGAAAAAATCTAGGTTTTTTCCTTTAATTTTTTTTTAAATAAATTCAAGTGCGAAAATAATTACAAGAGTTTATTTGTCATTAATTAAATAAATAACTTGATATGTTTGAATTTATAAAAAAAAAAGTGAAGAAATTGTTAAAATAGATAAAGTAAAAGTTTACGCAATTTACACCGTTCCTTCAAAAATTTTAATAAATAATAAAGCAATTAATCATCATTAATCTACTTAATTTTATAAAATTTTAATTTAATTCTATATTAATTACTCTGTCAACTGTCGAACCAACATTTCAACAAACTTTAATTTTTATTAACTTCCAAAGTTAAACCCCAAAAACCATTAAGAAAAAAGTGCTAAAAATCTAAAAAATTTTCGTTAAAATAAAAATATTTTAATTTCTTCATAAAAAATTTAAAAGTGCAAGTTTCTCTTATAATTAACGTTTAAATTTAATTATAAGTTAATAACAGCATTTATGTTTTAATATTTAGTCGTTATAAAAAAAATACCATAAAAATGCAAAAAATACCGAATAAAACATTCAGTCACGTCCAATTTTATGTCAAAAAGTCATAAATACTATTATTAAAATATTTTTTTTGAAATTGTGTTTATTTTTTATAAAAAAATTAAAAAATTGTTAAACAATTTGTCATTAAGTTAATAATTGATAGACATTTGGCAGCAAACAAAAACTTGTCTGTAAATGCTATAAATTTAAAGCTTAAAGTTTTGTCAAATATATTTAAAAGTGATTAAAATGTTTAAACATATATTAAGCTCTAATACTGTCCTTTTAATGACCTAGAGAAGCAACTATAGTCCAGACATTAGATCAGTCTATAGTCCAGACTATAGAGCATTCTATAGTCCAGACTATAGATCATTCTATAGTCCAGACTGTAGATCATTCTATATTCCAGACTGTAGATCATTCTATAGTCCAGACTGTAGATCATTCTATAGTCCAGACTGTAGATCATTCTATAGTCCAGATTATAGATCATTCTATAGCCCAGACTATAGATCATTCTATAGTCCAAACTATATACCATTTTATAGTCCAGATTATAAATCATTCTGTAGTCCAGACTATAGATCATTTCATAGTCCAGACTAAAGATCATTCTATAGTCCAGACTATAGATCATTCTATAGTCCCAGAATATAGATCAATCTATAGTCCATACTATAGATCATTCTATAGTCCAGACTATAGATCATTCTATAGCCAAAACTATAGATCATTCTATAGTCCAGACAATAGATCATTATATAGTCCAGACTATAGATCATTATATATCATTCTATAGTCCAGACTATAGATCATAATATAGTTCAGATTATATATAATTCTATTGTCGAAACAAATGAACAGTCTATAGTCCAGACATAGACCAGTTTATAGTCAGGACTATAGATCAGTCAAGACTATCGATTAGCACTCTATAGTCTAGACTAGAGTTCAGTCTAGAGCACATATTATAGATTAGACTAATGATCAGTCAATAGTCAAGACTATAGATCAGTCTAGTACAGACTATAGATTACTCTATAGTCCATAATATAGCTTATCGATCAGTCTATAGTTTGGACTATCTAACTTATTTAGTCTAACTTATTTAGTCTATATAGTCTAGTAATCTATATGTATTTAGACTATTGATCAATCTACAGTTTAGGCTATAGATCAGGGTATAGTCTAAATCATATAGAGCAGTCTATAGCCAAAAGTCTACTCTACAGATCAGTTTATAGTATAGTTTGTCACTCAGTCTATATTGTAGCCTATAAATCTATAGTCTAGCTTATTGATCATAGTCTGCACTATAGATTAGTATAAAGTCTAGCCTATAGACTAATCTATAGTGTTGACTATATAGTCTCCACTATAGATCAGTCTATAACCTATACTAAACATAGATCAACCTGTAGTCTAGCTTATACATCATTCTATAGTCTAGCCTATATGTCAATCTTTAGTTTTGGCTACAGATCAGTCTATAGTTTAGTCTGCAGTCTAACCTATAGTTCAGTTTATTTTCTACACTAAAGATCAGTCTATAGTCTATTTTACTGATCATAGTTTATGCCATAGATCAGTATAGACTACTCTATTGATCTGTCTATAGTCTACGCTATAGATCAGTCTATAATCTCAGTCTATAATAGATCAGGCTATAATCTACAATATAAATTAGTTTACAGTCTAGCTTTTAGATCAGTCTATAGTTTAGACTGTAGATCAGTCTATGGTCTTGCCTATAGTCTAGCCTATAGATCAGTCTATAGTTTAACATATAGATCAATAATATATTATCGACCCTATAGATCAGTCTGTCTGTAGTCTATATTATAGATCACTCTATGTTTTAGACTATTGATCAGTTTTGACTATAGCTCACACTACATATCAGTCTTTAGTCTAGATCATAGATCTGTCTATAGTCGAGACTAGGCTACAAAGTGCGGTCTTTCTGAACAAAACTTGTAGATCAAACTACAAACCGGACTATACTCTAGTCTATATGACTCTTCTCAAGGCATACTTCTTATAACTATCTAACATTATCTGTTCCTCCCTGTTTTTCCAATCATAAATACCATCATCATCTAATCTATTAAAGATAAAAAATATAATATCAAAGAAATTGAAACTGACTGGTATTGACATAATCTTTAGAGCAGAAAAAAAAAACTGAAAAGAAATACTACAACTTTGATAACAATAATGTTTAAAAAAAATTCGCTAAACAATTAATATTTTCCATTTTATACTATTTTAATTTCTGTTAACGTATATTTTAAATAAATATTAGCCATATACTTATACTTTATTGCCTTGATTTTTAAGATAAGATTTTTTTCTATATATATCTCTACGTAAACGGGCAAAATTTTCTTAATCAGTTCGGTTTTTTTTCTCTCTTTCTCTATTTACAGTTAAACTAGAAAATTTAAAACAGAGTTCTAGCAGTTGTACGTAATTAATTGAAAGAATCAGCAGAAATAAAAACCCACGGCTAAATTCTTGAAAAAAAAAAAATTGCACCATATTTTGAAAAGTCATCTATAGTTTCAGAAAATCGCCATGAAGTTCGTTTAAATGTGTGCAAATTTTGAGAACGACTCAGTAATTGGAAAAACAAGAAGATTTACGGCAACTTTTTTACATTTAAGGAGATTCTGTTGTATATTTTGAATTATAACTGGGGAGCGAGTTTCCTCGTTAACCATCAGCATGAGTAAATCGGGATTTTCAACGCTCAATCGTTGGTTGGGACGTAAAAATAAGGGTGAGTACTTGAAATACTAGACTAGACTGCGGACTATGCTAGACTATAATACAGATGAGACTATAGACTAAACTATAGACTACGCCATAGAAAGGACTATAAACTAGAGTAAAGACTAGACTACATGCTAGACTATACCATAGATCAGATTATACAGAGATTATACAGATTATAGTTCAGACTATAGTCCAGACTATAAACTAGAGTACAGGCTAGACTATAGACTAGACTGTCGACTGGACTATAGACTAGACTATGGACTAGACTATAGAGTAGACTATAGACTAGACTAGACTAGACTATAGGACTATAGACTAGATAGACTAGACTATAGACTAGACTATAGACTAGACTACTAGACATAGACTAGACTATAGACTAGACTATAGACTAGACTATAGACTAGACTATAGACTAGACTATAGACTAGACTATAGACTAGACTATAGACTAGACTATAGACTAGACTATAGACTAGACTATAGACTAGACTATAGACTAGACTATAGACTAGACTATAGACTAGACTATAGACTAGACTATAGACTAGACTATAGACTAGACTATAGACTAGACTATAGACTAGACTATAGACTAGACTATAGACTAGACTATAGACTAGACTATAGACTAGACTATAGACTAGACTATAGACTAGACTATAGACTAGACTATAGACTAGACTATAGACTAGACTATAGACTAGACTATAGACTAGACTATAGACTAGACTATAGACTAGACTATAGACTAGACTATAGACTAGACTATAGACTAGACTATAGACTAGACTATAGACTAGACTATAGACTAGATATGACTAGACTATAGACTAGACTATAGACTAGACTATAGACTAGACTATAGACTAGACTATAGACTAGACTATAGACTAGACTATAGACTAGACTATAGACTAGACTATAGACTAGACTATAGACTAGACTATAGACTAGACTATAGACTAGACTATAGACTAGACTATAGACTAGACTATAGACTAGACTATAGACTAGACTATAGACTAGACTATAGACTAGACTATAGACTAGACTATAGACTAGACTATAGACTAGACTATAGACTAGACTATAGACTAGACTATAGACTAGACTATAGACTAGACTATAGACTAGACTATAGACTAGACTATAGACTAGACTATAGACTAGACTAGACTATAGACTAGACTATAGACTAGACTATAGACTAGACTATAGACTAGACTATAGACTA